ATGACTAAACAAATGAATAAGATGACTAAACAAAGCTGCAGAAAAAATATAAAAAAATTCACTTTCGCAAACAGAGTGGTAGACGGTTAGAACAAGTGAAGTGAGAAGGTGGTGGAGGCCAAAACCGTCATTAGTGTCAGAGCGTTTTACGACAAGGAGTGCTGGGAAGACGGGACACCACGAGCGTACCTCTCGTCCTATAACTACACTTAGGTAATTACACGCACATATACAAAAGAGTGGCAAACAATATGTAACACCATAATATATATGTGTCAGTAATGTCTTTTGGGTCAAATATATATTTACACGGATTATCTTGGTTCAGTGTGTGTAATTAGTGGGTCATTTACGTGTGTACTCACCTAATTGTGCTTGCGGGGGTTGAGCTTTGTCTCTTTGGTCCCGCCTCTCAACTGTCAATCAACTGGTGTACAGGTTCCTGAGCCTACTGGGCTCTATCATATCTACATTTGAAACTGTGTATGGAGTCAGCCTCCACCACATCACTTCCTAGTGCATTCCATCTATTAACTACTCTGACACTGAAAAAAATCTTTCTAACGTCTCTGTGACTCCTCTGAGTACTAAGTTTCCACGTGTGTCCCCTTGTTCGTGTCCCTCCCGTGCTGAAGAGTTTGTCTTTGTCCACCCTGTCAATTCCCCTGAGAATTTTGTAGGTGGTTATCATGTGTGATGGTGGTGTTATGAAGTGGTCTGGTAGTAGTTGTGGTAGACAATGGTGGTGGTATTTGTGGTAGATAGTGTTGGTGGTGGGATGTCGTGATGGTACGTGTGGTAAGTTTTGGAAGTTGTGTTAGGTTATGGTAGGTTGTGGTGATGTTTGCTGTGGTGGCGAATGCTGTGGCTGTGGTAACTGTGGTACGTTGTGGTAGCCGCGGTACGCTGTTGTGGTGGTAGTCGTGGTAGACCAGTTGAACCTTGAGGGGCCCCATGTTATTACCTAGAGTGTCATGTTCTTCTCGGTGTTCGGGTGACTCACGGAGATGTTAGCGCTGGGCATCAATGACGAGTATAACGCAGGACGTGACTCTCAGGACGTGACTCTTAGAACATGACTCTCAGGACGTGACTCTTAGAACATGACTCTCAGGACGTGACTCTTAGAACATGACTCTCAGGACGTGATTCTTAGAACATGACTCTCAGGACGTGACTCTTAGAACATGACTCTCAGGACGTGACTCTTAGAACATGACTCTCAGGACGTGACTCTTAGAACATGACTCTCAGGACGTGACTCTTAGAACATGACTCTCAGGACGTGACTCTTAGAACATGACTCTCAGGACGTGACTCTTAGAACATGACTCTCAGGACGTGACTCTTAGAACATGACTCTCAGGACGTGACTCTTAGAACATGACTCTCAGGACGTGACTCTGAAGGACACTCACCACATCCACCATTACTCTCTGTGGATACAGCTTTCTCACCTGCATTGTTACTCTGAAAAATGCGCTTGTCTCGTGGACTCTCCACAGCCAAGCATGACTCGCTTCATTAAAGGTGAATCGCTTATACGATCTCCCTTCGACTGTCTTGACCCTTCTTCAGGAGTGCCACACACTGGCCCTCAGACGGCCCCCAATTCTTAATTCCGGCGCGTACTTAATTCTTTGCATTCTTTAAATCTCGTTTCTTATTTACCGCCTTCGGCATTCATAGCGGCCGTCGTGTGTAGCATCAGGGACGTGCCATCATCACACGGGGAAGAAGAGAGATGGGAGAGCGGAGAGGAGAGGAGGCTGAGAGGTAAGGAGGAGGGGGGAAGGAGATGGAGGGATGCTGGGGTAGGGATTAATGGATGGAGACAGGGGTGGGCGGGGAGAGACGAAGGGAGCCATTTTCCTTCATACCCTTCCACGTCTGTATTTAATTAATTCATATTAAAAAGTACATTAATTTGTTTGGCATATGATGCAAGCAGCTGTATTTAGCATTGAGGGAGGGGCGGCGGGGTTGTAACCTGCAGGAATTACAACCGTGGCATCCAAACTCGATCACAGACACTACCGGATGTGTACACGTCAAGAAGTCAACACCAGCAATCAACAGACAATTAATGCACAACTATATTCTACCCACTTCAAGACCCCGCACCAACATAGAAGCAGCAAGAGCTGCTTCTTGGGCAAATAGGCCTATTTGGCCTATGGGCAAATAGGAATTCTGCAGTTACTTCCATTCTTATGTTTTCATACCCAATTTATACCCATTGTTTTTGTTCTGGCATATGCTCCGTCACCTCACCCAAAACGAGTATAAGGATGATGTATTTTATGTGTAAACTAAGTCTTTGAAAATGTAATAAGAATTACGAAACGCGTTCAGGCGTTAGACCAGAAATAAAGAATGAATTTTGGAGAGTTAATTTATTAATTACTCTCGACAGCGAAGAAGAACGTAAGAAATATTGAGAAGATTTGTGTTAGAATTATTAATCTTACCCTTTCGGTCATATTCGACAACATATGTTTACAAGAAAGATTGCTACCAATATATAAATATATAAATAAATATATATATATATATATATATATATATATATATATATATATATATATATATATATATATATATATATATATATGTCGTACCTAGTAGCCAGAATGTACTTCTTGGCCTACTACGCAAGGCCCGATTTGCCTAATAGGCCCAGTGATTTTTTTTTCAACAAATTGTTTCCAATTGGTTTATTTGAATTATTATTATTATTAAATTATATTAAGAACATAAATTATTGACTTAGTTATGTTAGTTTAGGTTAGGTTAGGTTAGGTTAGGTTAGGTAGGGTTGGTTAGGTTCGGTCATATATCTACGTTAGTTTTGATTCAAATTTAAAAAAATGAACTCATATATAGTGAAATGGATAGCTTTATACTTTCATAAGAAAATTTTTAGAAAAATATATAAATTCAGGAAAACTTGGCTTATTAAGCAAATCGAGCCTTGCATAGTAGGCCGAGAAGTGCGTTCTGGCTACTAGGTACGACTTGTGTATATATATATATATATATATATATATATATATATATATATATATATATATATATATATATATATATATATATATATATATATATGTCGTACCTAGTAGCCAGAACTTACTTCTCAGCCTACTATGCAAGGCCCGATTTGCCTAATAAGCCAAGTTTTCATGAATTAATTGTTTTTCGACTACCTAACCTACCTAACCTAACCTAACCTAACTTTTTCGGCTACCTAACCAAACCTAACCTATAAAGATAGGTTAGGTTAGGTTAGGTAGGGTTGGTTAGGTTCGGTCATATATCTACGTTAATTTTAACTCCAATAAAAAAAATTGACCTCATACAAAATGAAATGGGTAGCTTTATCATTTCATAAGAAAAAAACTAGAAAAAATATATTAATTCAGGAAAACTTGGCTTATTAGGCAAATCGGGCCATGCATAGTAGGCCAAAAAGTGAGTTCTGGCTACTAGGTACGACATATATATATATATATATATATATATATATATATATATATATATATATATATATATATATATATAAACTTCTCAGTAAGAAAGTCTGCAGAATATCTTGCGTTGCCGCCAGGTGTGGCAGTAACGAGGGCGGCCAGCCAGGTGTGGCAGTAACGAGGGCGGCCAGCCAGGTGTGGCAGTAACGAGGGCGGCCAGCCAGGTGTGGCAGTAACGAGGGCGGCCAGCCAGGTATGGCAGTAACGAGGGCGGCCAGCCAGGTGTGGCAGTAACGAGGGCGGCCAGCCAGGTGTAGCAGTAACGAGGGCGGCCAGCCAGGTGTAGCAGTAACGAGGGCGGCCAGCCAGGTGTGGCAGTAACGAGGGCGGCCAGCCAGGTGTGGCAGTAACGAGGGCGGCCAGCCAGGTGTGGCAGTAACGAGGGCAGCCAGCCAGGTGTAGCAGTAACGAGGGCGGCCAGCCAGGTATGGCAGTAACGAGGGCGGCCAGCCAGGTGTGGCAGTAACGAGGGCAGCCAGCCAGGTGTGGCAGTAACGAGGGCAGCCAGCCAGGTGTGGCAGTAACGAGGGCGGCCAGCCAGGTGTGGCAGTAACGCGGGCGACCAGCCAGGTGTGGCAGTAACGCGGGCGACCAGCCAGGTGTGGCGGCCGGATGGACGCACAGGTGGAGAGTCGAGACATTTCCGCTGTGTCCGTCTAAACTATATATCTAAATAACTGTTTTAACATATCCAAGAGGAGACTAATTACCGGTACACGAGCTGGGCGCTGACTTATGACTGGCCGGTCGTGCTGGTGGTGGCGGGGGGAAGTGACCCCAAGGGGGAGAAGGGAGGATGATTAACAGCCATTTCCTCCTTCTGCCCAGGTCACGAGGACCTTCGTGACCTCCGTGACCTGGATCAGCAGCACGAGCCTTGACCTTCCTCCTACAGACCGGAAGGAGGATTGAGCGGGAGCGCAACAGTAGGGAGTGAAGAGAGAGAGAGAGACGGTATTATACTCGCTGTGTTCGTCAAGGCATCATCTTAATTGTCAGAAATCTGTGAGGAAGCATCGGGAGGGATGTATATAAACACGTATGGGGCTCACCGTGATACAGATACAACCGGAGAGAGGGAACTATATCTTGTGAGTTGTTGTGTGGTGGTGTGACACAGATGCGGTTGTGTGGTGGTGTGACACAGATGCGGTTGTGTGGTGGTGTGACACAGATGCGGTTGTGTGGTGGTGTGACACAGATGCGGTTGCTGTTTGTGTAAGGTGAGCTGAATGTCAGATGAATTTGGAGAACAAGATAAACAAACCGCGCGCTTGAAACGGACTCTCAGTATTGTCACAGTCCGTCACGGGTCGGGAGCGTCACCCGTCACGGGTCAGGAGCGTCACACTGACGCAATTATGGGACTCACATTTTACGCAACAACTGACAAGCATCCTGAGTGAATAGATAAAAAAAATCGCAGAGAAAAATATAAGATTTTCGCTGAAAAGTTGTGAAATGTCAAAGCCGAACGTGAAAATGGACAATTAGACTATGTAACAGCCAAGTGGTCATTAGAGACAGCAGTTACCAGACTCTCAATATTTACCAACTACCCCTCAATTGTCCGCAGCGACAAGCTTCTTCAAAATGACTTGAGAGGGGGACTTCAAACTTCACTGACTTCAAAATGGGGAGGCGATCTGGGTGACCTTGGATGCCCAGGACCCAGCATCAGGTCGAAGGTCATCGTCACTTAGTCTTCAAAGACTTAGTACTGTAGTTGTCTTGTTGGTACACACATCATCTGTGTACTGCTGTAGCTTACTGGTGCACATCCTGGCCCTGGTGTGTGCACCTTACTGGTGCACATCACCGCGCCTCATGGCAGGACACACCATTAGATCAGAAAGATTGCCTTGCTTAAGGCAACTTATATCATCTTCAGTGACGGGTGGAGAATCTGTTACTTATCTCATGTGGCTCAGCATCTCTCAGGTGCAGTAGGTTATAAACAGGTGATGACCTGGACACTAGTTGATGAACTAGCGGTGATGACCTGGACACTAGTTGATGAACCAGCGGTGATGACCTGGACACTAGTTGATGAACCAGCGGTGATGACCTGGACACTAGTTGATGAACCAGCGGTGATGACCTGGACACTAGTTGATGAACCAGCGGTGATGACCTGGACATCACGGTGCTCTACGGCAGTCATCATCAGTTGACATCAAAACGCATCACGAGTCATCAAGTCATTAGGACTGTACACAGCTCCAGGCTCTCGTGTGGGCGTGACCTGGTGTGGGCGTGACCTCGTGTGGGCGTGACCTGGTGTGGGCGTGACCTCGTGTGGGCGTGACCTCGTGTGGGCGTGACCTGGTGTGGGCGTGACCTCGTGTGGGCGTGACCTGGTGTGGGCGTGACCTCGTGTGGGCGTGACCTGGTGTGGGCGTGACCTCGTGTGGGCGTGACCTCGTGTGGGCGTGACCTCGTGTGACCCTAATACACAGTACACCAGCGGCCCCAGTATCTTGGTCAAAGTTTTAGTGTTTACAAGGTGTTGAGGGAATGGTTCAAGAGACAATGGATATAACATCATTATCTTGACCGTTGAGTGGGTGTGGGTACATTTGTGTGTGTGTGTGTGTGGGTACATTTGTGTGGGTGTGGATACATTTGTGTGGGTGTGGGTACATTTGTGTGGGTGTGGATACATTTGTGTGGGTGTGGATACATTTGTGTGGGTGTGGGTACATTTGTGTGGGTGTGTGTGTGTGTGGGTACATTTGTGTGGGTGTGGATACATTTGTGTGGGTGTGGGTACATTTGTGTGGGTGTGGATACATTTGTGTGGGTGTGGATACATTTGTGTGGGTGTGTGTGGGTAGCAGCCGGGGCTGAGGCAAGCCCAGAGACCGCTACCACGATGTCTTACGGAACACTTCAATTTTGTATTGCTTAAAGACGTTTAATTGCTCTTTCATCGATCCCGAAAGTTGGCATGAAGTAACTCCTGAGAGCTGCCAGCGCTCTTGACTCCCGAGAGCTGCCAGCGCTCTTAACTACCATTTTATGACCCCCCCCCCTCCCACAGTAAATCTGGAAATGGCATATCATGCCACGCATGCCAAGCTGTCTGCTAGTCATTAAGTCATCTGCCTGTCCGTTTGTCTGCATCTGTCTGGCAGGATTATTGACATTTAAAGTAATAAATTATATATAGGTGACCTGGTGGCTAGTGTATTTGGTTAGTGGCGGTGGGCCTCGCCTGTATTTTCTTGTATATCTGTGTGTATACTCGCCTGGTTGTACTCTCCTAGATGTGCTTGCAGGTCGGGCTGTAGGCTCCTAGCCCCGCCTTCTGAACGTTCCCAGATTAATGCAGTGATTCACTTCTCACGCTTCTCATCATATTTACATATAAAGTTTTGACTCGATTCAGCTTCAACGACGTCGATCTTACTCCACCTCCCCCAGCACCTTCATGACTGTGGCTCAACTCTATATAACGCGTCCACCTTTACACAGGTTTACGGGCTCACCATAGCCCGTGCTACTTGGACACCTCGTTCTGAGTAGCTAAATCTGAAACAATAACAACATACACAGGCCTCGTGAAGGTCTCGTGATCGATTAGTGTGACCAGGTGAAGGATGGCCGTTCTTAGTGGAAATCTTATATAGGGTTGGTTATCGCTAATCATCTAATCCCTATAGGCTCAGTAAACGAAAACCAAGAGAGCGAAAGAGAACGAAAGAAACTTAGAAAGAGAGGGTGGGGGTCACAGAGAGTGGGGGAGTGAGATAGAGAGCAAGAAAGAGATACAGTGATAGGAGAAGAAAGAGAGAGAGAGAGAGAGAGAGAGAGAGAGAGAGAGAGAGAGAGAGAGAGAGAGAGAGAGAGAGAGAGAGAGAGAGAGAGAGAGAGAGAGAGACGCAGCGTGTTACCTTCTTCCCTGCACCTTTAACCCTCATTATCTCTCCTCTCCCCAGAACTTGACTCCCTCATTATTTCCTCCTTTCTCCCAGGTGCCCGTGTTCTAAATTATCTCTTCCTTTCTCTCGTCTATCCATCCTTCCCGGCATTGCTTCACCTTCTTATCCCTAAGTCTCTCCTCTTCCGCGTTTACTCACCCCATTCCCCATCTCGCATCTCCCTCCACCTCTTCCCCCTTCTCCCATGATGTTCTGGTACAACCAACATGTGTAACACAGCCCTCTCCCCCTCCCTGAACAGTGTTCCTACTCCAACACTCCCCCTCCCTGAACAGTGTTCCTACTCCAACACTCCCCCTCCCTGAACAGTGTTCCTACTCCAACACTCCCCCTCCCTGAACAGTGTTCCTACTCCAACACTCCCCCTCCCTGAACAGTGTTCCTACTCCAACACTCCCCCTCCCTGAACAGTGTTCCTACTCCAACACTCCCCCTCCCTGAACAGTGTTCCTACTCCAACACTCCCCCTCCCTGAACAGTGTTCCTACTCCAACACTCCCCCTCCCTGAACAGTGTTCATACTCCAACACTCCCCTCCCTGAACAGTGTTCCTACTCCAACACTCCCCCTCCCTGAACAGTGTTCCTACTCCAACACTCCCCCTCCCTGAACAGTGTTCCTACTCCAACACTCCCCCTCCCTGAACAGTGTTCCTACTCCAACACTCCCCCTCCCTGAACAGTGTTCCTACTCCAACACTCCCCTCCCTGAACAGTGTTACTACTCCAACACTCCCCCTCCCTGAACAGTGTTCCTACTCCAACACTCCCCACTCCCTGAACAGTGTTCCTACTCCAACACTCCCCCTCCCTGAACAGTGTTCCTACTCCAACACTCCCCCCTCCCTGAACAGTGTTCCTACTCCAACACTCCCCCTCCCTGAACAGTGTTCCTACTCCAACACTCCCCCTCCCTGAACAGTGTTCCTACTCCAACACTCCCCCTCCCTGAACAGTGTTCCTACTCCAACACTCCCCCTCCCTGAACAGTGTTCCTACTCCAACACTCCCCTCCCTCCCTGAACAGTGTTCCTACTCCAACACACAGTCCCCCAACATCCCCCACCCTGAACAGTGTTCCTACTCCAACACTCCCCCTCCCTGAACAGTGTTCCTACTCCAACACTCCCCCTCCCTGAACAGTGTTCCTACCAACACTCCCCCTCCATGAACAGTGTTCCTACTCCAACACTCCCCCTGAACAGTGTTCCTACTCCAACACTCCCCCTCCCTGAACAGTGTTCCTACTCCAACACTCCCCTCCCTGAACAGTGTTCCTACTCCAACACTCCCCCTCCCTGAACAGTGTTCCTACTCCAACACTCCCCCTCCCTGAACAGTGTTCCTACTCCAACACTCCCCCTCCCTGAACAGTGTTCCTACTCCAACACTCCCCCTCCCTGAACAGTGTTCCTACTCCAACACTCCCCCTCCCTGAACAGTGTTCCTACTCCAACACTCCCCCTCCCTGAACAGTGTTCCTACTCCAACACTCCCCCTCCCTGAACAGTGTTCCTACTCCAACACTCCCCCTCCCTGAACAGTGTTCCTACTCCAACACTCCCCCTCCCTGAACAGTGTTCCTACTCCAACACTCCCCCTCCCTGAACAGTGTTCCTACTCCAACACTCCCCCTCCCTGAACAGTGTTCCTACTCCAACACTCCCCCTCCCTGAACAGTGTTCCTACTCCAACACTCCCCCTCCCTGAACAGTGTTCCTACTCCAACACTCCCCCTCCCTGAACAGTGTTCCTACTCCAACACTCCCCCTCCCTGAACAGTCCTACTCCAACACTCCCCCCTCCCTGAACAGTGTTCCTACTCCAACACTCCCCCCCAGTGTTCCTCCCTGAACAGTGTTCCTACTCCAACACTCCCCCTCCCTGAACAGTGTTCCTACTCCAACACTCCCCCCCTCCCTGAACAGTGTTCCTACTCCAACACTCCCCCTCCCTGAACAGTGTTCCTACTCCAACACTCCCCCTCCCTGAACAGTGTTCCTACTCCAACACTCCCCCTCCCTGAACAGTGTTCCTACTCCAACACTCCCCCTCCCTGAACAGTGTTCCTACTCCAACACTCCCCCTCCCTGAACAGTGTTCCTACTCCAACACTCCCCCTCCCTGAACAGTGTTCCTACTCCAACACTCCCCCTCCCTGAACAGTGTTCCTACTCCAACTCCCCCTCCCTGAACCCTACTCCAACTCCCCCTCCCTGAACAGTGTTCCTACTCCAACACTCCCCCTCCCTGAACAGTGTTCCTACTCCAACACTCCCCCTCCCTGAACAGTGTTCCTACTCCAACACTCCCCCTCCCTGAACAGTGTTCCTACTCCAACACTCCCCCTCCCTGAACAGTGTTCCTACTCCAACACTCCCCCCCTCCCTGAACAGTGTTCCTACTCCAACACTCCCCCTCCCTGAACAGTGTTCCTACTCCAACACTCCCCCTCCCTGAACAGTGTTCCTACTCCAACACTCCCCCCTCCCTGAACAGTGTTCCTACTCCAACACTCCCCCTCCCTGAACAGTGTTCCTACTCCAACACTCCCCCACTCCCTGAACAGTGTTCCTACTCCAACACTCCCCCCCCTCCCTGAACAGTGTTCCTACTCCAACACTCCCCCTCCCTGAACCTACTGAACAGTGTTCCTACTCCAACACTCCCCCTCCCTGAACAGTGTTCCTACTCCAACACTCCCCCTCCCTGAACAGTGTTCCTACTCCAACACTCCCCCTCCCTGAACAGTGTTCCTAC